ATGTTTGGTGTGTTCTACAGTTACTGCAGTATGTTCTATGTGTGGTGTGTTCTACAGTTACTGCAGTGTGTTCTTTGTGTGGTGTGTTCTACTGTTACTGCAGTATGTACTATGTGTGGTGTGTTCTACAGTTACATCGCCGGACAGAACAGGTGTCACTGGTTTTGTATTCACTGTAGTATGTTCTGTGTGTGGTGTGTTCTACTGTTACTGCAGTGTGTTCTCTGTGTGGTGTGTTCTACAGTTACTGCAGTATGTTCTATGTTTGGTGTGTTCTACTGTTCCTGCAGTATGTTCTGTTGTGGTGTGTTCTATGTGTGGTGTGTTCTACAGTTACTGTAGTTACTGTAGTGGTGTTCAGTGTGTGGTGTGTTCTACAGTTACTGCAGTGGTTCTCTGTGTGTGGTGTTCTACTGTAGTACTGCAGTGTGTTCTATGTGTGGTGTGTTCTACAGTTACTGTAGTGTGTTCTGTGTGTGTGTTACCGCAGCATGTTCTACAGTTACTGCAGTGTTCTATGTGTGGTGTGTCTCAGTTACCTCAAATCGCCGGACAGTGCAGGTGTCACCGGTCTGTATGTGTGTGTGGTGTGTGTTCTACAGTTACTGCAGTTTGTTCTATGTGTGGTGTGTTCTACAGTTACTCACATCGCCGGACAGTACAGGTGTCACCGGTGTAGTATTCACTGCAGTATGTTCTGTGTGTGGTGTGTTCTACAGTTACTGTAGTATGTTCTATGTGTGGTGTGTTCTACAGTTACTGCAGTATGTTCTATGTGTGGTGTGTTCTACAGTTACTGTAGTATGTTCTATGTGTGGTGTGTTCTACAGTTACTGCAGTATGTTCTATGTGTGGTGTGTTCTACAGTTACTGCAGTATGTTCTATGTGTGATGTGTTATAAAGTTACTGCATTACAAGTGTGTCACTGCAGTTACAGCATGTTCTATGTGTGATGTGTTCTACAATTACTCACATCGCCGGACAGTACAGGTGTCACCAGTGTAGTATTCACTGTAGTTTGTTCTATGTTTGGTGTGTTCTACATTTACTGTCGTATGTTCTATGTGTGGTGTATTCTAAAGTTACTCAAATCGCCGGACAGTACAGGTGTCACCGGTGTAGTATTCACTGCAGTATGTTCTATGTTTGGTGTGTTCTACAGTTACTGTAGTATGTTCTATGTTTGGTGTGTTCTACAGTTACTGTAGTATGTATTATGTGCGGTGTGTTCTACTGTTACTGCATTACCCATCCCTCAAATACACCGCGTAATTCTACCTGTATATAGCCCCATATTGTTTTATTAAGCATTCACTGCAGTATGTTCTATGTGTGATGTGTTCTACAGTTACTGTAGTATGTTCTATGTGTGGTGTGTTCTACAGTTACTGCAGTATGTTCTATGTGTGATGTGTTCTACAGTTACTGCAGTATGTGTTCTATGTGTGGTGCGTTCTACAGTTACTGCAGTGTGTTCTATGTGTGGTGTATTCTAAAGTTACTCAAATCGCCGGACAGTACAGGTGTCACCGGTGTAGTATTCACTGTAGTAGTATGTTCTATGTTTGGTGTGTTCTACAGTTACTGCAGTATGTTCTATGTGTGGTGTGTTCTACAGTTACTGCAGTGTGTTCTATGTGTGGTGTGTTCTGTTACCGCAGTATGTTCTATGTGTGGTGTGTTCTACAGTTACTGCAGTATGTTCTATGTGTGGTGTATTCTAAAGTTACTCAAATCGCCGGACAGTTACAGGTGTCACCGGTGTAGTATTCACTGTACTGCAGTATGTTCTATGTTTGGTGTGTTCTACAGTTACTGTAGTATGTTCTATGTGTGGTGTGTTTCTACCGTTACCGCAGTATGTTCTATGTGTGTGTGTGTTCTACTGTTACCGCAGTATGTTCTATTTGTTGGTGGTGTGTTCTACAGTTACTGCAGTATGTTCTATGTGTGGTGTGTTCTACTGTTACCGCAGTATGTTCTATGTTTGGTGTGTTCTACTTTGTTCCCGCAGTATGTTCTATGTGTGGTGTGTTCTAAAGTTACTCAAATCGCCGGACAGTACAGGTGTCACCGGTGTAGTTACAATTCACTGTAGTGTCACAGTTCTATGTTTGTATTCACTGTAGTGTTCTATGTGTGGTGTGTTCTACAGTTACCGTAGTATGTTCTATGTTCTGGTGTGTTCTACAGTTACTGCAGTATGTTCTATGTGTGGTGTGTTCTACAGTTACTGCAGTGTGTTCTTTGTGTGGTGTGTTCTACTGTTACTGCAGTATGTACTATGTGTGGTGTGTTCTCTACAGTTACATCGCCGGACAGAACAGGTGTCACCGGTTTTCTATTCACTGTAGCATGTTCTCTGTGTGTGGTGTGTTCTACTGTTACTGCAGTATGTGTTCTATGTGTGGTGTGTTCTACAGTTACTGCAGTGTGTTCTATGTGTGGTGTGTTCTACAGTTACTGTAGTGCGTGTTCTGTGTGTGGTGTGTTCTACAGTTACTGCAGTATGTTCTATGTGTGGTGTGTTCTACAGTTACTGCAGGACAGTACAGGTGTGGTGTGGTTCTTGTATTCACCAGTAGTATGTTCTATGTGTGGTGTGTTCTACTGTTACTGCAGTATGTTCTATGTGCATGGTGTGTTCTACAGTTACTGCAGTATGTTCTATGTGTGGTGTGTTCTAAAGTTACTCAAATCGCCGGACAGTACAGGTGTCACCGGTGTAGTATTCACTGTAGTATGTTCTATGTTTGGTGTGTTCTACAGTTACTGTAGTATGTTCTATGTGTGGTGTGTTCTACAGTTACTGCAGTATGTTCTATGTGTGGTGTGTTCTACAGTTACTGCAGTATGTTCTATGTGTGGTGTGTTCTACAGTTACTGCAGTATGTTCTATGTTTGGTGTGTTCTACAGTTACTGCAGTATGTTCTATGTGTGGTGTGTTCTACAGTTACTGCAGTATGTTCTATGTGTGGTGTGTTCTACAGTTACTGCAGTATGTTCTATGTATGGTGTGTTCTACAGTTACTGCAGTATGTTCTATGTGTGGTGTGTTCTAAAGTTACTCAAATCGCCGGACAGTACAGGTGTCACCGGTGTAGTATTCATTACAGTATGTTCTATGTGTGGTGTGTTCTACAGTTACTGCAGTATGTTCTATGTGTGGTGTGTTCTACAGTTACTGCAGTATGTTCTATGTGTGATGTGTTCTACAGTTACTGCAGTATGTTCTATGTGTGGTGTGTTCTACAGTTACTGCAGTATGTTCTATGTGTGGTGTTTTCTACAGTTACTGCGGTATGTACTATGTGTGGTGTGTTCTATAGTTACTGCAGTATGTACTATGTGTGGTGTGTTCTATAGTTACTGCAGTATGTACTATGTGTGGTGTGTCCTACAGCTACTGCAGTATGTTCTCTGTGTGGTGTGTTCTACAGTTACTGCAGCATGTTCTATGCATGGTGTGTTCTACAGTTACTGCAGTATGTTCTGTTTGTTGTGTGTTCTACAGTTACTGCAGTATGTTCCATGTGTGGTGTGTTCTACAGTTACTGCAGTATGTTCTATGTGTGGTGTGTTCTACAGTTACTGCAGTATGTTCTATGTGTGGTGTGTTCTACAGTTACTGCAGTATGTTCTATGTGTGGTGTGTTCTACAGTTACTTCAGTATGTTCTGTGTGTGGTGTGTTCTACACTTTCTGCAGTATGTTCTATGTGTGGTGTGTTCTACAGTTACTGCAGTATGTTCTATGTGTGGTGTGTTTCTACACTTACTTCAGTATGTTCTGTGTGTGGTGTGTTCTACAGTTACTGCAGTATGTTCCATGTGTGGTGTGTTCTACAGTTACTGCAGTATGTTCTATCTGTTGTGTGTTCTACAGTTACTTCAGTATGTTCTGTGTGTGGTGTGTTCTACACTTACTGTAGTATGTTCTATGTGTGGTGTGTTCTACAGTTACTGCAGTATGTTCTATCTGTTGTGTGTTTCTACACTTACTTCAGTATGTTCTGTGTGTGGTGTGTTCTACACTTACTGCAGTATGTTCTATGTGTGGTGTGTTCTACAGTTACTGCAGTATGTTCTATCTGTTGTGTGTTCTACAGTTACTGCAGTATGTTCTATGTGTGGTGTGTTCTACAGTTACTGCAGTGTGTTCTATGTGTGGTGTGTTCTACAGTTACTGCAATGTGTTCTATGTGTGGTGTGTTCTACAGTTACTCACATCGCCGGACAGTACAGGTGTCACCGGTGTAGTATTCACTGTAGTATGTTCTATGTGGTGTGTTCTACAGTTACTGCAATGTGTTCTATGTGTGGTGTGTTCTACAGTTACTCACATCGCCGGACAGTTCAGGTGTCACCGGTGTAGTATTCACTGCTAGTGTGTTCTATGTTTGGTGTGTTCTACAGTTACTGTAGTGTGTTCTATGTGTGGTGTATTCTACTGTTACTCACATCGCCGGACAGTACAGGTGTCACCGGTGTAGTATTCACTGTAGTATGTTCTATGTTTGGTGTGTTCTACAGTTACTGCAGTGTGTTCTATGTGTGGTGTGTTCTACAGTTACTCAAATCGCCGGACAGTTACAGGCGTCACCGGTGTTGTATTCACTGTAGTGTGTTCTATGTTTGGTGTGTTCTACAGTTACTGCAGTGTGTTCTATGTGTGGTGTGTTCTACAGTTACTGCAGTATGTTCTATGTTTGGTGTGTCCTACAGTTACTGCAATGTGTTCTATGTGTGGTGTGTTCTACAGTTACTCACATCGCCGGACAGTACAGGTGTCACCGGTGTAGTATTCACTGCAGTATGTTCTATGTGTGGTGTGTTCTACAGTTACTGCAGTATGTTCTATGTGTGGTGTGTTCTACAGTTACTGCAGTATGTTCTATGTGTGGTGTGTTCTTACAGTTACTGCAGTATGTTCTATGTGTGGTGTGTTCTACAGTTACTGCAGTATGTTCTATGTGTGGTGTGTTCTACAGTTACTCACATCGCCGGATAGTACAGGTGTCACCGGTGTAGTATTCACTGCAGTCACAGCTCACTGATCCTTGTGTACCTTCTCTACAGATGCCGTTGTTTTTACAATATTCTGTCTCCAGTTTACATTTGGCTGCAAAGTCAAGAAGATTTCAAAGTCCATGCCATGTTTTAGCTTTAGATGCTTGGTTGGCATTTTAGAAGATGCTATTTGATAAACATATTGATTTTTCTGGGTTACAAATAAAACTAAAAATAATAAAAAGAAGATGTATCCCAGAAAAATCTCTATGTTTTAGCTTTCTGTCACAAAACTGGTCATACACACTCATTTACCACCGGGCTACTCTCATTATAATTTAGTCCGACTATATATTCTTATTGCTTGATAAGCATTCTAGAAGTTGGAAAGTCAATAGTGAAGGTGACAATTATGTGTAGTTTAGCTTATTGTATTTTGTATGGAGCGACGTTTCCACATGCCTTTGGTCACATAATACCATAGGTATTGCATTCCACCAGCCACGAAAAGCTGGCCAAGCGATTGACTTGATTAATCAACTATTAAACTATCATCCAGTCAGCTTTAATCCTTTCTGTGCACTGGCTACCTGACTAGTGCTATCTGTTGTTTTACTCTCCACCTGGCCCCATCCACTTATGTGCTGCTTCTTGTAGTTAATGTTAATCCGCTGCTTGTTGCAACACACCATGCAGATATATCAACACATGGTTACATTCCGCTCATTCCGACTGCGCCACACATTGTTGCGCCTGTCAAGGAAGTCCAAAGTAAATCTTGATTCTTCCTACAACATAATGTTTTGTCCAGCGACGATTGCTCCAATGCTGTGCACAACTGTTGTCATCAACGTCGTCTTGCCACGATATGGCGGTCTGCCCATCGTGGAATAACACGTGGTCGAAAGGAATGCAGGTTGTATCTAAGTACCAGATTATGACTCGTCTGGAAACTCTAACATCTGTTAGGTCTGTGCATTTCACATCTGAGAGATACCACTGTTTCGTCACACAGTCGTTCTGCGCCTCGCCTTCGGTCAATCAGATCAACGCCTGTCATATCATATTATTTGTCTGTCCTTATTGTACTCTGCTAATTATTGACCCTAAAAAGTAAAGAACTCGTTCTAACTTCCAACATGCCAAGCGCACGTGACAGTTTCTGATGTGACTGACGCCGCGTGTCAAAAAAGCATCAAACACCAATTTCAGTCAGATTTTTATCATTTACAGCAACACAATGACACGTTTCACTGTCAGTTTCATTGTCACCCTGCACATCATGAAAAGCCGCTCGTGCGAAAGTGGCATGTTTGCTCGAAATTCGTAACGTGTTGTAAATTGAATAATCATTTCTAAACCCATAACCAATAAAACGGTTCGATAATACTACCCGTGAAGGTCCGGGTTACAATATTGATCTTCAGTAACCCATGCTTGTCGTAAGAGGCGACTAACGGGATCGGGTGGTCAGGCTCGCTGACTTGTTTGACACATGTCATCGGTACCCAATTGCGCAAATCGATGCTCATGATCACTGGATTGTCTGGTCCAGTACAGACCGCCGCCATATAGCTGGAATATTGCTGAGTGCACTCACTCACTCGTAAATACTATCACCCAAGACGGAATATCACACTACTTGTTTTATGATTAATATGGATATACTCACACACACAGTCTGTGACATTGACGCTGTTGGTCCTGAGGGTGGGCATCGCATCGGGACACGCCTTGCAAGATGTCTGCCCTGTCTGGTCCTGGTACTTACCGATACCACAGTCCGGACAGGTGTCCGTTGAACTGTCGTGTCGTGTACCTGCTGGACAAGGTTCTGTAACAACCACAGATAATACAACGTCATTAAACGTCACAACCGGCCAATGATCGTGGAGCACACGTGGGCTTTTAGGAACTTATGTTGTTGGCGTGAAGCGTCCTTCAGCTTCATGCTTATGGGATGTAACTGCGATACGTTGTCCATGGCAGTGATTCATTGTGACAGGGAGATCCGAGTTATTTATTTCATGAGAATTTGGGGTGTAAACGACATGTTCATGTCAGGAGCTAAATAGGAGATCACTTACCGCAAACCGTGGCGTTATTCACAAAGCCGGCTGCACATGATACGATGGGGACAGTGATGTTCCTGTAGGTGACGCCATACGAGGTCTACAACACGTGTATATTGATAATAACAGCCTCAGATCATCATAAAGCTAATACTGGCATTGCAACTAGCATACAGTCCGTAGATCTACAACTAGGGGCAGTGAGTGTAGATGCAGTAAAATACCGTCTGCAGATCTACAACTAGGATAGTGTGTCTAGATGCTATCGAAATACAGTCCGCAGATCTACAACTAGGATAGTGTGTCTACATGATATTACAATACAGTCCGCAGATCTACAACTAGGTTAGTGTGTCTAGATGCTATTAAAATACAGTCCGTAGATCTACAAGTAGGGTAGTCTAGATGCTATTAAAATACAGTCCGTAGATCTACAACTAGGGTAGTTCAGATGCTATTAAAATACAGTCCGTAGATCTACAAGTAGGGTAGTCCAGATGCTATTAACATACAGTACGCAGATCTACAACTAGGATAGTGTGTCCAGATGCTACTAAAATACCGTCTGTAGATCTACAACCAGGATAGTGCTCTAAAGCAAAATGGAATGGTATTGTTAAATCAAGAATCTGTGATTCTTACGTGAGTTTGTTGTGTCATCAGATAGCAGTGAGAGAAGATCGCTCTAGATATTGTCTTATCCGAGAGCCTTGCAATTGTAAACCAAGCAGACTGTGGGAACTAGCTTTGATAATAACCACAACGTTTACAAAATCTCTCATATTATTCATGTTGGCTGTAAAAAGATTGCATCCAGAGAGTTTATATGTTGAATAGTAGCTTCTGATATTGTTAAACATGTTGGAAACGATATGTGATATCACATCAGTTTCTGATTTTGTTGAATTCTGGGGAAATGATGACGATGGATCTTGTACAACATTTGGTTATTTAAATATGACAAAATGGGAAAAAGTTCTGCTATTAGTGTCTGATTTTATGACTGTCTGTCACTCAACTTATTCTCACAATTACTTGTGTACTGGTTCAATGTGTATTCAACTTCTAATTCTGTTGTAATATGTAACAATCTTCCTATGTTTTGAGGAAATACAGATGATCTACCTCATCTGCTACTGCGACAGTAGTGAGTTATGCCACTGAGGCAGTGCTATAGGTTGTGCAACACTGCTTCACCTGCCATAGTTGTCCATGTGATACTCAGAGAGGGGCAGCGCTGTGCTATATTCAGACTTGTACTCCCCCCTTATCATCTCTAGCGACGTTGAGAACAGGGTGTTAAGCCCATTTCTGGTGCCCCCCGCCGTGATGTTGCTGGAATATTGCTTAAAGCGGCGTAAAACCAAACTCAGTCAGTCAGTCAGTGAGAACAGGATTGATGTTCTGGACCATTTCTTGGGAATATAAGGTGAGCTAGTTATTGCCTCTCACCTCACACTACACCTCACACTACATCTTACAATACATCCTCACACTACATCTCACACTACACCTCACACTACATCTCAACTACATCTCACACTACACCTCACACTACATCTCACACTACACCTCACACTAACATCTCGCACTACATCTCACACTACACCTCACACTACATCTCACACTACACATCTCACACTACACCTCACAATACACCTCACACTACACCTCACACTACACCTCACACTACACCTCACACTACATCTCACACTACATCTCACACTACATCTCACACTAAGCACTCACCTCACACTACATCTCACACCTCACACTACACCTCACACTACATCTCACACTACATCTCACACTACACCTCATCTCACACTACCTCACACTACACACTCACACTCACACACTACACCTCACCTCACACTACATCATCTCACACTACATCTCACACTACACCTCACACTACATCTCACACTACATGTCAATCACCAGAAGACCAGTGTGTGATGGCCAGGCCTAAGTACAGGTCTGATTAATGCTACTGAGAAGGAATAGTACCATCATTGTCTTTGTTTCTGTAATCACTGCTCTTGTATTATACTGGCTTTAATTATGTACAGCCATTGTATTGACTGATTTGCATTGACGACTTAGCTAATTATAATGAAACAAATACAGCACATTTCTTTGTTGTCTTGTGTTTTCTTTTGTTTCTTTTACGGACTGATTTCCATTTGATCTGCTTAGTTTCACCTTGATAATCAGCACGTAACACACTACAATAGTTTGTCGCAGATACTGCTGCACTGTCGTGCTAAAATGTACTCACCAGTGTTGGGGCGACAGCAGCATTATCCGCTAGAGCCTGCACCAACAGAGATTCAGAACTTCTCCTGACAGTCTGGTTCTTGTCAGAAAGTGTATCCCTGTCAACAGAGCACGGACTGTGAATATCATTCTGATATGGCAGCGAAGAAATATTACCATATAACTCTGGAAAATATGTGAACGTTTCTGCATATTTGTTTTAATTGCTGGCGTAATGTTAAGCTGTGGGGAATGTGTACCTACGGGAGATTTGCCGCCGTCACTTCAGCAGTGACCATGTTCCCTGTTTGTCTCTTCCTGCGGGTCCCTCCACAACCATCCGTGATGCGGACCTCTATGTTACTACAGGTACTGTCCTCGCAGAAGCCCGGGAACTCATTGTGTTGGGCGCGAAGTAAGATATTGATCTGTTCAAGGATTGTTCCATGTATGAGATCGAGGTTACTGCAGTCATTTACTTCGAATATGATCTCAACTGTCACTGTCACCCGAACAGGTGCGGGGGTGGTACCTGCTACACAAAAATGAAATAATCGTGAAAGACAAAATAGAACCCTAGTATGTAACATGTGTACTGCATACAGTATTATTCAGTGTTGTATACACACCACCTGAATCCAAGGGCAATTTCTAATATTATGGTCCCAACAGGCGATCATATACTCGAATGCACATGTAAAGCACGCGCTTCATACAATATCTCAACATGAGTGGATTGTATGTTCACACTCTGCAAAAGAGCCAAGCACCTGGGGGTTCGACAGGACTATAAATAACTTGTCTTGACATGGCAAGGCGTGGACTTTCACAAACCACACGCTGGCAAGTTATGGGGCGTGTATGACGGTGCTAACGTGAACATCCACAAGACAGTGGGCAAGAACGTGGCCACCGGTGACGTAAAGCACCATCCCAGGTGTGGAAGAGTGAGTGAGTGAGTGAGTGAGTTTAGTTTTACGCCGCACTCAGCAACATTACAGCTATATGACGGCGGTCTGTAAATACTGGCGTCTGGACCAGACAATCCAGTGATCAACAGCATGGGCATCGATCTACGCAGTTGGTATACGATGGATACACTCGTGCCAGTTATATTGGGCCCACTTTTAGTTTTTGACAAAAGGTTATGTGATGTACACGAGGCTTAGCTTGGCTTCTCATTACAAGAAAACCCGCGGTAACCAGCATTAAGCATCTCATCACGTGGCCGATCCTTACGGATACACTGGTTTCTGGCCGTGGCGCTTGTGCACTGCGAGGAATGTGGTCCCGCCTTCACCACACCTGCCGCAAGATGTTTGTCCTTTGACTATTGGTGAACCCCCTGCCAGCAAGGCTGGCAACCGGAGTTCAACGCGGTAACCGGCCTCACATGCAACTGAAACAGAATCCACGGTATGTCTCAATGCATTTTGCAGGTATGGAGACAATGACAACAAGATTTAGATATCTGAACACCGCACACAGTTATAATTGACAGAAGGTACAATTTCTGAGCCACTATGCAGAGCAATGGCGTGGTGGTATGCGGAGTAATGGTGTGGTGCATAATCATGGTGTGGTGGTATGCATGGTAATGGTGTGGTGCATAATCATGGTGTGGTGTGGTATGCATGGAATGCGTGGTGTGCATAATCACGTGCGGTATGCGGGCGGGGTCGGTGTGTGTGTGGTATGCATGGTAATGGTGTGCGTGCATAATCATGGCGTGGTGGTATGCATGGTAATGGTGTGGTGTGGTATGCGGAGTAATGGTGTGCGTGGTACGGTAATGGTGTGGGTGTGCATAATCACGGTGTGGTGTGGTATGCATGGTACGGCGTGCGGTATGCGGAGCAATGGTGTGCGGTATGCATGGTACCTGCGGTATGGCGAAATGGTGTGGTGTGGTATGCATGGTAATGGTGGTGCGCATAATCACGGTGTGGTGTGGTATGCATGGTAATGGTGTAGTGGTACGTGAGTAATGGTGTGGTGTGTGCGCATGGTAATGGTGTGCGTACAATCATGGCGTGGTGTGGCATAAAATATGTTGTATGCCTCGAGGGCAAGGGTCTGATGTATGCCTTTGTAGCCGTGTTCACCCGAGCCAGTAGGGCAGACGCCATTTTGTTTACATGTCATATATAGCCGGTAGCGAGCTATCGCCCTCAAACAAAATACAAAATGATATTTTGTACATTCAACAGGTAAGGGTAAATACGTTGTAAACTTCTCCTCGGGTGATACGGTCTCGGACGTACGCCTTTGTAGAAGTGTCACCCGAGCCGGTAGTACTTCTAAAATGCTTCTTTGAGAAATTAAGATTCCCATTTATAATTCGCCTCTCTGTTACAATCGAGCGTGGATCCGGACAATCCAGGGACTGATATCGATCTACGTAAATGTATATGTTGCATCCATTCAACTCAGTGGGCCAACTGCTTCATCCCGCCAGTCGCCCAGCAATTATTGATATGAGGCTCTGAAGACTGATCTTCACGGGCTTTCAGCCCGCCACAGACATATTTGTAATTGACTGTTCTGAAAAGCCCGTCAGAAAACATTATTGCTTTGATTGTTGCCAGTGTGACGCGAATCTACATGCCACCCCAAACACACACCTCTGAATAGACACGCACGTCTCTGCTGTTGTTGTAATTGTAATTGTAACCCCCACATTCAAAAACGTCGGCTGTCGAGAACATTGTATCTTCACCCAGTATTGTTAGGCGTTTCCATGTACATGTACCTAGTGAGCAGTTGCTGGTCAGTTGAACCAGTCAATGTCGTCGGGGCACTGGCGACACTCCTGGTGGTCCCTGCTGTGGGATGCGAAGGTGCCCAGGGATACGGGCATACACGAGCGACGTCACATTCAGGCATTTCCCGCTGCACAGGTAGCCGGAAGGATATCACAGTGGGTTAGAGAGATATCAATGACTTGACAAATATGTAAACGAATGGTTTTAACCAAATGCGCTTTCTGAGTCCCATGAACACAGGCTTGATCCTGTTGATTCGACTAATTGCGAGAGTCCCAGCACTGGCAATTACTTCTAAACAAGGTTCCCGGACAAGGTGTAGTACATAATGCAGACACCCTGTACTTCATTGGAGCCCATGGAGAGGGTGGTGAATCCTGTTTCACACTTAGAACACTGTGTCTGTCCCAAGACTCTGGTATTCCCTACCGCACACTTCTGACACGTGTCGGCGCAGTCCTGTACTCGCCCGCAGGAATAATTCCTGAAATATACCAACACATGCAAAAGTCACTTCCTCGACACGTGCAAGTCACTCTGTCACCTCTCAGACACCTGAATAAGCCACGACTCCTCTCTCAGACACCTGCATAAGTCACAAGTCACTCACCTACACCTGCATAAGTCACGTGTCACTCTCACCCACAAGTCACGTGTCACTTCACCTACACCTGCATAAGTCACGTGTCACTTCACGAATACCCTGAACAGTCACTTTCCAACACCTGCATAAGTCACGTCTCAATCTCTCCAACACCCGCATAAGTCACTTGTCACCTTCAGACACCTGGAATAAGTCACGACTCTCTTCAGACACCCGCATAAGCCGTCACTCTACCTTGCACCTTCATAACTCATGCTCACTTCACCTACACGTTCACGTCACTTTCACCTACACCTGCATAGTCACGCGTCACCTCTACGACATCTGAACAAGTCACTCTCCAACACCTGCATAAGTCACGTCTCAATCTTCAACACCTGCATAAGTCACTTGTCACTTCAGACACCTGAATAAGTCACGACTTCAGACACCTGCATAATACAAGTCACTCTCACCTGCACCTTTCATAACTCACGTCACCATAACACCTGCATAAGTCTCTCGTGGTCTCCTCTCTGTGTCTCAAACACACGCAAACGAGCACATACACGAACACACACACTTCGGGAAGAACAGTTCCAGCCAAAGTATGATGTTAATAGACCGTCCTTACTCAGGTTGCAGGCGGTCGAGGTTGAACCTTCTGCTTGCGGTCGCCTGCGTCACACTTTGGTGCAGTTCTCCGTCCCCACGGTGGCCTTGTAGTATCTCTGTGGGCAATTTGGTGTGCAGGTGGCTGTCTGATGGGCAAAGAATCCAGGCTCACAGTACATCAATGACAGGATAAACAGAACGTGCTATGTTATATGACAGCTAATGGTAAATGATTGAAACACATAGTTTCTGATAGGATTTAGTAGATTTCATTACACTGTTTTCAACAATAAGTAGTTGTCGTCGCATTGTGGCTTTAATCTATTAATCATAATATATATTTGTCAAAGCTTTTGCAGTCAAATGTAATCTCGAGTCACCTAAAAACGCATTATCCCGTCAGTACCAAGTGTGGACATTCGGGTGTTATCGTAGAAGGGGCTGAAGCATTACGTTATCTCAAATCACTGTCCAAGTCCATTATTTTCGGCGTGGATTTTCAGTCTTTATTCATTAGCATTATCTTCACTGCGATTAAATGAATTCTGCCATTGACCGTTATAACACCACTCTGCTGAGTAGCCACGGTGATACTTATGCAGTAGTTTGTATCGATATGTAAACCGGTTCATTTTATCATACAAATCTTAAAATTAATATTTATTATTTGTAAACGGTTCCACGCTGATATCGACACGTAAAATACATAGGAAAAAATCACTGCATCGCTGCATTGTACACAAACATTAGAAGTAGTATTGGAAGTACGTGTGACCCAGCTCGAATCAAATAACAGCCGTCAGCACCCTCAGGCACGGCCACAGAACCAGATAACTATGATGAAGAATTTCCGTAGAACCAGATGTCAAATACGGTGTCAATTCTGACCTTGCTGAGAGACACCAACTGACCGGATTAAACTGGAAATGTCTCTCTCAACATTCACATCATTGATCGGTCTTTGGCAAATGGTATTTTACATCCATGGTTTACATTGTTCAATTAGGACTGCGGAGGTACATACGTTCAATGTTCAATAGACTGCGGTGTGTATATACGTTCACTGTTCACTGAGACTGCGGTGTACATGCTCACCGTTCACTTAACCGCAGTAAACATACCGTTCACTCAATCGCCATAGACTGCGGTGTGTACATACGTTCCTCGTTCACTGAGATCGGTGGGTGTGAACATACGTTCACTGTTCACTCCAGACTGCGTACGTTCACTGTTCACTGACTGTGATGTGAACATACGTCACCGTTCACTTAGACTGGCGGTGTACATATGTTCACTTAGACTGTGATGTGTACATACGTTCACCGTTCACTTAGGATAGTGGTGTGAACATACGTTCACTGTTCACTAAACCGCTGCTCTGAAATGATACCTTCACTGTTCACTGAACTGCGGTGTAGTTCATACGTTCACTGTTTGCAATTTAAACTGCGGTGTGAACATACGTTCACCGTTCACTTTAAACTGCAGTGTACATATGTTCACTTAGCCTGCGGTATGTACATCTGTTCATCATACACCGCGTTGTGTACATATGTTCACTTAAACTGTGGTGGAACATACGCTCCACGCCCATTTAAACTGTGGTGTGTGCCACGTCTCTTAGACTGCAGGTAGAACATACGTTCACCGTTCACTTAGACTGCGGCGGTGCATACATACGTTCACCGTTCCGCCCAGACTGTGGTGTCTACGTTACCTTCAGCACAGCCTGATGCCTCCTGCGTGAAGGTGCCAGACGTGGTGTAGTTCCTGGGGCACGATGTGCAGGACGTAAGCTGTTCTGGCGTCCTTGCAGTAGCCCTTGGGGCGATTGTAGCACGTCCCCGTAGTCACAATATGTAACTAAACAATCTCGATCACAGAACACTGAAAGCAAAAGAAGGTTGAAATTCGTGACAAGAGGCTTTTGAAAGTGCTTTACGTATAACTGGCTACAGAACGTCGTTTGCGACAAGAATCACCCTAACGAGGTGTTGCTTGCCGTCAACAACGTGATCAGGATTGGTTGTTTGATTGAATATTCACCATTGACGCGTTGCATATTGTTCTGTTTTCTGCTGACGTCACATTTGCCATCACATCTGCGTGCAGACAGAGAATCCAGACTGGTTTTTGAACTTGTTCTCGGGTCAAAGGTCGCATTTGCCTCTGATTCCCTTGCTTTCCCTGGACCACAGTAAACTGCTTCAAACAAAGTAAAGTTAATACTTAACGTATGAAATGAATAATAAATGTGGTATTAGCAAGATGAAAACTAATCCTTGACACCAGTCATGCATCTATAACAAAGCATTACAGCGATGAGGGTAAGATTGTCTTACAGCTTTCATCTGTACACACATGACAAGAAACGTCGCACTTCTTCTTGCGTTCATGTCTGGAGAACAGTATAAAAATAGTTACAGAACAATATAGACTAGAGTTGTTAGCACCGCCAAAACATTCTACAAGCCTACTCAGACGGAGCCACACATAACAATATAGACTAGAGTGGTTAGCACCGCCAAAACATTCCACAAGCCTACTCAGACGGAGTCACACATAACAATATAGACTAGAGTTGTTAGCACCGCCAAAACATTCTACAAGCCTACTCAGACGGAGCCACACATAACAATATAGACTAGAGTGGTTAGCACCGCCAAAACATTCCACAAGCCTACTCAGACGGAGTCACACATAACAATATAGACTAGAGTGGTTAGCACCGCCAAAACATTCCACAAGCCTACTCAGACGGAGCCACACATAACAATATAGACTAGAGTGGTTAGCACCGCCAAAAGCATTCCAACAAGCCTACTCAGACGGAGTCACACATAACAATATAGACTAGAGTGGTTAGCACCGCCAAACATTCCACAAGTTCTACTCAGACGGAGACCACACATAACAATATAGACTAGAGTGGTTAGGCCCCGCAAAGCATTCCCACAAGCCTACCAGACGGAATACACACATAACAATATTGACTAGAGTGGTTAGCACCGCCAAAACATTCCACAAACCTACTCAGACGGAGTCACACATAACAATATAGACTAGAGTTGTTAGCAATCTCGCCAAAACATTCAACAAAGCCTACTCAGACGGAGCCACACATAACAATATTGATTACAGTGGTTAGCACCGCCAAACATTCCCTGAAGCCTACACAGACGGAGTCACACATAACAATATAGACTAGAGTGGTTAGCACCGCCAAAACATTCAACAAGCCTACTCAGACGGAGTCACACATAACAATATAGACTCGAGTGGTTAGTTCCGGGCAAAACATTCCACAAGCCTACTGCCAGACGGAGTCACCACATAGCAATATAGACTAGAGTGGTTAGCACCGCCAAACATTCCACAAGCCTACTCAGACGGAGCCACACATAACAATATAGACTAGAGTTGTTAGGCACCCGCCAAAACATTCAACAAGCTTCTACCAGACGGAGCCACACATAACAATATTGATTACAGTGGTTAGCACCGCCAAAACATTCCACAAGCCTACACAGACGGAGTCACACATAGCAATATAGACTAGAGTGGTTAGCACCGCCAAAACATTCAACAAGCCTACCAGACGGAGTCACACATAACAATATAGACTCTGAGTGCGTTAGCACCGCCAAAACATTCCACAAGCCCTACTTCCACGGAGTCACACATAACAATATAGACTAGAGTGGTTAGCCCTCGCCAAAACATTCCACAAACCTACTTCAGACGGAGCCACACACATAGCAATATAGACTAGAGTGGTTAGCACCGCCAAAACATTCCACAAGCCTACTCAGACGGAGCCACACATAACCACAATACATACAGCAGATTCGACATGAACAACTAGCACCCAGGTTACCGCGGAAACACTGCCCGACCCGAGTCTGTAATAGGCTGGTGTCTAACGCCGCTTAACGCCGCTTTTTCTTTTGCAATTTTTCAGCAAAATCACGACGGGGACACACAGAAATGGGCTCACTCATTGTAGCAGTGGGAATCGAACCCGGGTGTTCAGCGTGACGAGCGGACGCTTTAACCATTAGGCTACCCCATCGCCCCGAACAGCTTCTAAGATACAGCTACTACTGTGTGATTATACTACATTTAACATCCATTGTATTTAAAGAAATCAAATGGTCACAGTGACCTGTACATGGTGATGTGGTTCTTCGGTTAATGTCACGTACGTGTGCATTGATCTAGTCTGTACCACTTTTTACAGTGACGTCACCTACATGTACACTGACCTAGTCTGTACCACTTTTTACAGTGGACGTCATCTACACGTACCACTGATCAAATCTTGTACACTGACCGAGTCTGTACCATGTTTTACAGTGGATGTCACCTACTTGTACACTGACCTAGTCTGTACCATGTTTTGGCTAAATGGAATTCACCTGTTTGAACACTGACCTAGCCTGTTCCATGTTGTACAACCCACCTGCTTGTCTACATCGACTGTTCCACTACTTGTGCATAGATCTTCTTGATGTAGAGCCGGTGTCAGACGTCATTCAGATCTGTGCCAATAACTTTCACACACTCGCCCGTGCCCGAAGTGGATTTGGTACTCTCCAAATCCACATGGCTCGCAAGCACTGTCAACGATTTTGTATCCAGGCGGACAGTTTCCTGAAGGCAGTGGCATGTTCACTGTTATCATCATTCACATAAAATCCAAGGACGACAATTATAAACAAAAAAAGTCACTGATGAATGTCATGAAGGTTTTCCAATATGTGATGCCTCGAACCGCATAATTATGCCGGAGGAAATATAATAATATTATTATAATGTTCTTTATATATAGTGCACTTGGTTCCACCCACCAGGAACATGCTCAAGGCCCTACAATAGTCACAGATAGGAAGTTAACGGGATGAGATAGTTCCTGGGGATAGAACTTTCTGAAGAAAGGGTTTTAGGTTGGTGTTGGAATGGCCTTCAAGGGTGGGGATTCTTTAATGTTCTGGGGTAGTGAGTTCCATAACTGAGGTGCTGCTATTTGAAACGATCTGTTGCCGTAGGATTTTAGTCTTGAGTTTAGTACTGCAAGTAGGCGTTAATTTTCAGGCCTTAGACGTCGCGAAGGCTGGTATGGTGAGATCAGTTCTGATAGATAGCTCGGTGCTGTACCATTCAAACAGTGGTAGGCAAAACATAAGATCTTGGAAGTGGATCGGGCTTCTGTTGGTAGTTGGTGTAGGGATATTTCACGGCGGTGTTATATAGGGTCTTTTGGTACACGACACGAAATACCATATTTTGTACCTTCTGGGGTCTGTTCAGAAGTTCCTGACTCTCAAACCATACAACAGACTGTTGCTGTAGTCAATGCGGGACATCGCAAGTTGTTGGACTAGTGTCTTTGTTACGTCTTTGGTAATAAGATGGCGGATATATACTTCTACTGTAGGTTGAAGTAGCAGGTCTGGCACACTTTTGGATTAACTTGGGCTTCCATTGACAAGGAGAATCTAGGGGAGAATCCAGGATCATACCCAGATTCTCTGCTTTGTCGGCGAATGGTATGACTGAATCTCCAACAGCCACTAACGTGATATTCAACTGTTGAATACGTTGTCTGTGCGGCAGAACCATACTACAACTGTGCCTCAGTTTTTTCAGCATTCAGGTTTAATCTGTTTGATGTCATTCATGTTTTTATTGATTTACTTAATGTACTGCAAATACAACAATGAAGGTTGACACAGGAGCTCGTATGCTTCACGCACTATCTACAATGAGCAAGCGTCATATAATATTTTAGCCGTAGTTTTTTTGTGACAGCACATTCTAGCACGATATTTGTTCATATTTTCATGGCGGGTATGAATGTTTTGTTGAGTTTTCATATGTACTTACGCTTTTTTTAAAACAGCTGGTAATCGCTTCACACAGTTAATCTCTCTATTCCCGCACAATATAAAACTTCTGTTGTATTTTGAGCTTCAGAAACGTAACATTGACCTAACTCCTCATCTAGGTCCGGTAGTTCGACCACCGTTGAAAGTGCTGTTTCAACTCGGTGAAAGTCTTCTGAAGAGAAGTGTCAAAATGTTTAATTTGTTTCAAAGTTATTTTATGTATGTGTGTTGTATCGGTCCTTTGTTGCCTTATTTCGTGGTTGCAACGTTACAGAAACACGTGATGATATGAAACAACCGGAAAATTGGTCCTCTGATCGAGGTCACCGCGATACTGGCAAGCACGACCGTTGACATGGTGAAGATGACTGGTGTGAGAGCAGACGACGCAACACACCAGCAGACGAGTGGAAAGATAAAAGACATACCGACCCGTTGTCTTAGGGGGTGTTTGACTCTCACAAATTCAATTTATCTCATCATAATGCTATGTACTTAAAGCAGTGTTACAGTCTTGGGCACTGGTATATTAAATGACTGACACAAATGGTTCAGGGGAAAATATCCACTTTGTCACATAGAGAATTACTCAAGTAGTCTTTCTGATATCAATTATATCAACACGAGTTGATAAAGTTACACACATATCCGAGGCTTGCTGAGGATATTTTACTTTATCAACGAGTGTTGATATATTTGATATCAGAAGACACGAGGGTGAAATTCCCATTTATCATCCAAAATCACTCTTCATTAATTTTCAATGAAAATGTACATCTCTGAACATGGTACTGCCTTTAGACTTGCAGTGCAGCGATGTCATAGCATTGTGACGTCATCAAGTACATGACGTCATAGCGCACTTGTCGTGGGCATTGTACAAAATCTACTGTCAAAAACGATATCTCCTAGGAGATATCGTTTGATCTCACAATAAAAGCGATATCTCCTGTGGAACACAGTTTTGGATGATAAATTCACTTTGCATACACAGTTGTCGGAAGTAGAATAATCCGAAACAGCCAGCGTTTGCTGCTTTTCTATACATGTACATCAATTGAACAAACTCATTACTGCTTTAAGTAGTCAACATATGTGCCAATACACTTCCTCCCATCTACAACAACAACACACCTACAGTCCCAACACGCTAGGGATATCTCGTCATTTAAGGAATATCAGGAGGCATGAGCTCAAAGGCCTTGTTGATTGCATAGACAGTGGCGTACCATCAACCGTCCTGTTGAGGTTCTACTTGGTTATAATGCTTGATATAATGCCATAGTTTCCCCTGGACAAACGGTGGTATTATAACCAGGTCGAAGTTTATTGTGGGGTAAATGTGATGATAGAAGTGTAAATAGAAAAAGTGTTGCTGTGCTTCCGTCACTATATCGCAAAGCTCAGTGCAGTATACTAGTAAACGGTATGTCCAATATCTTAGATTGCGGTTGACCGGGACTTAGCGCAAGGGTGATATTGTCCCCGACATCGTTAAAAACATTATTATTAGTTTTAATGCGGTGAAGTTGAAATAGACATTCGTGGTAAAACTATGTCCACCTTAGCGTATGCTGATCTTATTTTACTTTTCACAATTGGAGGATATGAACAAATTATTACACATTTTAAATAATTTCTGTGAAAAATATAAGATAAGTCACATGCTATTCATTTTATATACATCCCAAACAATTTTACTATTGGTAGGTCTGTTTTGTGCATAATATTAGTTAGACTGCTATTTTGAAACATTCCAAAGAAGTTTGCGTTGAAAACAATAGCTCCAATAACACCACCACCCCACCCTGCAACAACAGATCAATGGTAGGATCACTTTAAGGAATTTTGTGTGTGTATACATCTATATTTAGATTCAACTAGTGTTCATAGAGATGAAATCTCGATCAGTCCGATGATAAACCACACAGCTTCGTTCCTCAAAACAAACCATTCCTATACAGAAGTAGGTGTGTATGCTGGTATTCAGGTTTTAAAGAAAGGAAATCACCTGGACTTAATCTTCAACCGAACTCTTGACAAGAACAAAGGACACAACGACACCTTTACTAAGTGAAGTTAACGGCTTTTGGAATTCCCTCACTCTCTCTGTGAAGTTCTTACTGCAGTAACTAGTTATCAACTGACCCAGTGGTGTGCTAGTAATAATGATACTTTTGTGAGTTGGACACCGGCGCCCGGCCTGATCACCCTCCTACTTATCAGAATCGTCCCCTGGCTATGGCTATGATTCAGAAGTGCCTGTGCAAGAAGCAATGTGACAGACTTAACTGTTATATATGTTAACATTTTCTTCCGCAGATTTGCAAATATAGATATCAATGGTAAAAATATTAAAGGTTCCTATTTTCTATGCATTCTTCATTATCTGTCTGTGTAAGAACGTATAATGGTTTAATCTAGTATTGTCAATACAATGTTGGAACTCCTCAACACTCTGCGAGACAGACCCGTAAATATATGTTATTATCTTTATAAACTAACTTGTTACTCTCATATTAGAACAAGAAGGTGAAATGATATTATGATATCCTCAGAATTCCCCTGGTGTTCTCTTTGGGTTTCTGCTGATATGACTGTGCGCATGAATTACTCAGCTACTACTTCGTATCCACAGACGAAAATACAATTCTTGGAGCATAAATAAAGAACGAATGTAAATTTGAAAGAAAACCTAAATTATGGTCTTCCGTAGAGGGAGGGCCGACATTATGAAAAAATGTTATTAAAAAGGAAATCAAATTGATGTTGGTAATTTCTGTCGATATTTAAGTATAGTATTTACCCTTAATTCATCATGAGTTCCACAGTCAAAACAAGGGTCATGTGCGTATAAGTATAAATATCACAGGTACTACGGCTTTGCTTCCACATGCTGATTCTTTCAAAATCTTTGATACAAAAGCAGCTTCCAGTTCTCTGTTAATGAGCGGAAATGTCGGGCACTTCCTATTGTAAAGTTATAGAAAGCGTACAATTACATTTTGGTAAAACATATTTGAAACTTAACCAATATTAATGCAATGTAACGGCATTTGGGGAATGTGAATTAAGTGTTTCTACTTTCACCTTCCTGCTATTCATCCCATTAGTATTTGTGAATCTGTTTACAGAATAACACAATGTTAATGTTGAACCATCTATAGTCAGCGTACTTGATATTGAGGGACATGTTGGGGAAATGGGCGTGTCCGGGATGTTGAAACTAATAATATCCAAAGCACAAAATATTGATTTTGATTATTTAGGAACATGTTTTGTGGTTAATGACGATTTCCGGATTATTGATCTTCCTCTAAAAACGAATCAATATAAAACAAATATCAGTGTTTGTGGAAAAGGTGACATGACATTATTACAATGAAAGGTTGAATAACGACGGTTACTTCCGGGAAACACTCAGATCAAGTAGAAGTCTAAATTGTGAAGTATCTTTAATGCTGGAATAAATTAGCATTGGAATGTTATGCTCATGGTTTGCATGTTTCGTTTCTGTAACTATACAGCCATAATTATAGTAAATCAAAATAGTGAAACACATGCGATAACATCGAGGTTGTAACCTCTACACTGCTACGTTCAGGGTAAGGTTGAGTATGTTATAACATGCCATCACACTGATAGCAAACCTACTGAGGGCGGCAGTGTATATCACACTTGTTATCTGCTACTCAGTTTCCATGGAAATTGACTCACTCAGTGTGCACTGTGTAGCACTGGTGGCCCAGTTGATTCTGTTGTAAAATTAGCATCAGAACACGCTTCACATGCCGAGAACCGCATCTGGGATGACCCATCGTTCCAGGTTCCTCTTGGACACGGCTCACATTGGCTGCCATTGACCTGCTGGCCAGCTGCACAGAATGCTGGTGGGATAAACACATAGAAGATACGGAATTAGATGGAAGCTGCACAGAATACTGGTGGGATAAACACATAGAAGACACGGAATTAGATGGAAGCTGCACAGAATGCTGGTGGGATAAACACATAGAAGACACGGAATTAGATGGAAGCTGCTCAGAATACTGGTGAGATAAACACATAGAAGACACGGAATTAGATGGAAGCAGCACAGAATGCTGGTGGGATAAACACGTAGAAGATACGGAATTAGATGGAAGCTGTACAGAATGCTGGTGGGAAAAACTCATAGAAGATACGGAATTAGATGGAAGCTATATAGAATGCTGGTGGGATAAACACATAGAAGACACGGAATTAGATGGAAGCTGCACAGAATGCTGGTGGGATAAACACATAGAAGATACGGAATTAGATGGAAGCTATACAGAATGCTGGTGGGATAAACACATAGAAGACACGGAATTAGATGGAAGCTGCACAGAATGCTGGTGGGATAAACACATAGAAGATACGGAATTAGATGGAAGCTGCTCAGAATACTGGCGGGATAAACAACATCACAGGTCGTATGATATGCTATATTCGATACGATATTTCGGATATGAGACTGTATACAACTTATTTTGAATGTTGCGCAATATATGTCGGATGTGATCCCAGATACAATATGCTATGTCTGATATGACGCTATATACAACACTGTATGCTGCATAACACTGTGCTGTATAACACACGATATTGTGGATGTGGCACTGCATACAACACCGTTTATGATGGAGGACTTTGGTTTCATGAAAATAAGAAAAAACAAAATAAAATATATCAATTAGAAGGTTGTCAAATGTAGAATACATTATATTTGGGATTAAACTTTCCCGAGAATGTATAGATTCTGGTACCTTCTGGGTTGAGTTGGAAGAGTTGCGGGGAATGAGTGGGTCAGGTTGCAGATTGTGTTCTACGGAAGAAGTGGTGGATGAGTGGGTCAGGTTGCTGATTGTGTTCTACGGAAGCGATGGTGGATGAGTGGGTCAGGTTGCTGATTGTGTTCTACGGAAGCAGTGGTGGATGAGTGGGTCAGACTGCTGATTGTGTTGTACGGAAGCCGTGGTTGGTGAGTGGGTCAGATGCTCATTGTGTTCTACGGAAGCAGTGTTGGATGAATGGGTCAGGTTGCTGATTGAGTTCTACGGAAGCCGTGTTGGATGAATGGGTCAGGTTGCTGATTGAGTTCTACGGAAGCCGTGTTGGATGAATGGGTCAGGTTGCTGATTGAGTTCTACGGAAGCCGTGTTGGATGAATGGGTCAGGTTGCTGATTGAGTTCTACGGAAGCAGTGTTGGATGAGTGGGTCAGATTGCTCATTGTGTTCTACGTAAGCCGTGTTGGATGAATGGGTCAGGTTGCTCATTGTGTTCTACGGAAGCCGTGTTGGATGAATGGGTCAGGTTGCTCATTGTGTTCTACGGAAGCCGTGGTGGATGAGTTGGTCAGATTGCTGATTGTGTTCTACAGAAGCCGTGGTGGATGAATGAGTCAGATTGCTGATTGTGTTCTACAGAAGCCGTGGTGGATGAATGGGTCAGATTGCTGATTGTGTTCTACAGAAGCTGTGGTGGATGAATGGGTCAGGTTGCTGATTGTGTGCTGTGGAGGTTACAGTGGTCGAATTATGTACTGAAATCTAACATCTTTCACTAGATGCTCCAGATTATCTATAGTTACCTTCACAGTCAGTAGCATTCATAGACCCATTGTGTTGAGTTGAGTAGCCGCTCTGACAAGCGGTACAGTTCCTCTGTAGCGGTTTTGGCTGGAAGCTTCCCACTGGACATTTCGTACACATGCTGCCATTGATGTAGTTACCGGGCGGACATTCAGCTGGCAAGCAGGAACAACCATCTTATATTCAGGAATCAACCACCAATGTATTACTCGACTCAAAAAGGCATCACATTTCAAAATACGAAAACTGTTGACAAAAGTATCAGATTATGTTTGCAGTTTAGAAATAGAGAGAAATATTTACGAAACAGTTTGGGGAACAGTTTCGAAACCGCTTTAAACGTATTGTTGGCTGGCAACATCAGGGCGTGTACAGCCAGGTTCAGTAAGGTTTGACAGTAGTACATCAACTGATACATTCGTACACATATATTGATGTGGACAGTCTACGTATCACCCGTTTCTTGGTCCGATTCTAGTTTAGCCCATCATTTAACGACTATATGACATACCAACGATATTCAATTTCTGCTGAATGAATGGTATTGTATGTGGAGCACAATGGCTGAAGATACGATAACGAACAGCATATATAGAAGGTGCAAGTGAATCATTTCACAGTCAAGAAGGTTCAACTTGACACCTGAGAAGTGTCACTGAACTGTCAGATCCAGACTCGATTATTTACAGAATACGCTCGAACAGCCTGGACATTGCTGAGTGCGGTGTTAAACAGCAAAACAAACACGTTTCTACACTGCTCAGCAAAATCCGGTGAATCCTTTCGCCTGTCAGCTCTGGGTGTCATTAGTCACCATTCAGCATCAGTGCTTTACTGACACAGTGTAATCATGCTGGTAACGCTCTTGTGTACTGAATAGATGCATGGTAGAAGCAACAGCAGTAGTAGTGGAAAGACTAGTAGCAGTATCAACACCAGCGGTATTAATTTACACTAATCTGGCAATAAGGAGATACTGACGTAAGTTACAGCCGGACGATGAGGTCGTTTTGGTTCCTTCCGTAGTCTTTCCACTCGGACATTTCTCACAGCTGTCTTGTACGTTGCGCGTCCTGAAGTAACCCTGCGCACAGTCCTTACATGACCCATCGTCCTGCAACTCGGTGCCAGAAGGACAGCCATCTGTAACATGGAACATACATTGACCAATACTTGGAAGTTAATGACATCGTCCTGCAAGTCAGTGCCAGTAGGACAGACATCTGTAATATGGAACATACATTGACCAATACTTGGACGTTACTGACATCGTCCTGCAACTCAGTGCCAGAAGGACAGCCAGCTGTAACATGGAACATACATTGACCAATACTTGGACGTTAATGACATCGTCCTGCAACTCAGTGCCAGAAGGACAGCCAGCTGTAACATGGAACATACATTGACCAATACTTGGACGTTAATGACATCGTCCTGCAACTCAGTGCCAGAAGGACAGCCAGCTGTAACATGGAACATACATTGACCAATACTTGGACGTTAATGACATCGTCCTGCAACTCAGTGCCAGAAGGACAGCCAGCTGTAACATGGAACATACATTGACCAATACTTGGACGTTAATGACATCGTCCTGCAACTCAGTGCCAGAAGGACAGCCAGCTGTAACATGGAACATACATTGACCAATACTTGGACGTTAATGACATCGTCCTGCAACTCAGTGCCAGAAGGACAGCCAGCTGTAACATGGAACATACATTGACCAATACTTGGACGTTAATGACATCGTCCTGCAACTCAGTGCCAGAAGGACAGACATCTGTAACATGGAACATACATTGACCAATACTTGGACGTTAATGACATCGTCCTGCAACTCAGTGCCAGAAGGACAGCCAGCTGTAACATGGAACATACATTGACCAATACTTGGACGTTAATGACATCGTCCTGCAACTCAGTGCCAGAAGGACAGACATCTGTAACATGGAACATACATTGACCAATACTTGGACGTTACTGACATCGTCCTGCAACTCAGTGCCAGAAGGACAGCCAGCTGTAACATGGAACATACATTGACCAATACTTGGACGTTAATGACATCGTCCTGCAACTCAGTGCCAGAAGGACAGCCATGTGTAATATGGAACATACATTGACCTATTCAGCTCAAATCGTCCTGCAAACTCAGTCATCTGTAACATAGAATGTTGCATAGCTTCCAGATCGTTGTTATAACTGACATTGTCCATTGTCTGTTTCCCGAACACCTGGTGTCATCGCTTATTATAGAGATTCATGAACACATGCTCATGAGATAGTCGGACTCATTAAATTATGTCTGCCTTTAGTAGACACTTCTGGTGACTATTGCAATGTTCTGATGTCATCATGTTCAGATCATACCTTGTCTATAATGTTTCGACAATCATTGACAAGTAAAAACTTTCAGTTACTTAAATATGTTTCACATTGACAAACAGACATGAATTATATACAAGCAAACCGGTCCCTCGTTAAGTATCTCCTTTACCCTTAGATGCCCAGTGATCAATAACATGTTCCATAGTGAAGGTTAGTGAGCAAGCGAAATGTAAAGGAAATCGCCTCATCTTCCCACCACCTGCAGTCACACTCGTGACAACATTTTGTTTTCAGAGCACATTTGGAATACAATAATGAATATTTTTTTCTCGCACCTGTACACAAATCTGAAGATATACACATACTAACCTGCTAATTTCCGGGATATTTAGGGGAAAACGAAGGTCTATTTTACATATTAAACAGCATTTATTTTTTTTCTAAACTGTTTTTGTTTTGTTTTAACGGCCATTCAACAAAAAACGTGCACCACATTAATAGCCCGTGATAAGGATATTCTTTTTATTGTACCCAAATCAAGAATACAGAGTATATATATACAGTGCATACTGAAATATGTGAGCAGGTATACATTGTTGATAGAACTGGTTACTCCAATAATTACACAAGTTGGCCGAAGTCATCAGGTAATAAACTGCGAATAATGCAGACCATTTTTCTGAAAATTTATCAGAAACATTATTTCTTTTGATTGACATGTTTGGTTAAATTTAACCGAAGTCATAAGGTTCACAAACACGAAAAAGTGGAGACCATTTTTCTGAAAACTTATCAAAATCATTATTTCTTTGAAAAGTTATTTTTTATACTTTTAATGTGTCTTTTAAAAACTATTCAATTTTGGACACACATTATTCAGCAAATGTAAATGTGTCTTGTAGCAGAGAGGATCCTATGATGTAATAAAGGGTCTTTTTTCTAAAATACCAAACCCAACAAGGAATTTTGTCAGTTATACAGTTCTTGTATGCTTTGAGCAATCCAACTTCGAATGTCATTCCAAAAGGTTTTGGTTTCCTCACATTCTCAATATACATGGCAGGACCTAAATTGTTACCATGGTCATAGATACGTTTATTCTTCTTTCATAACTTCATACTAATATTTGTATAGAGACAATATCCAGCTCAGCTACTCACAGGCGCTTTGTTTTCCTTCTATCATTGGATGCCAAACTCAACGGCGCATCGTATTTTCAATCTTAACTCCCTGGGAATCATACAACTCCAATGTGTCTTTCTACGCCCCTTGATGACGCTGTCACAAAGCCCTACACTTCAAGGAGAATTCACCTATTTTACTATCGCAGGTCCCTTCTCATTCCTATTCCCTTCCATACATGTAAACTTACACCCACTCCTTCACCGATACCAGAAACACCCGGACTGAACCTTTGTTTACATTCACAGATACAGAACATGACAACAACGTAACGTAACTAAATATAGGTAGAGATATAGAGAGATATAAAACATCCGCGTTGGGCATACAGGTTTATTACGATAACAACATTTGTGCAGTTAGAAGTGAGTTACATGATAGGTCTAAACAGGATGAAGATTTTACTTTTGGATAATTATCCGTTTGTTTCTTAATCGTGAATTTTGTAAAGTAAACATATTTTAATGATATGCATATGGGGTATAATGTAGTAAAATCTGAGCAACATGTTTTCTTTCGTTTTCTACAGAAGGACAAATAAACACATATTATAGAATTCATCACCAACTCACAACTATATTCTACACAGCACAGGATAATTTCTATAACACACACTACTCACTAAAACATTTGGAAGCACTGTCTGTTCCCGCCACTCTGGTTCTCTGGAGCAGGGGACAGGGGTAGCAGAACGCCTGGCCCTCCTTCTCCTGGTAGTAGTCACGTGGACATGGACTACAGCTGCTGCCTTGGAAGTACTGACCAGCTGGACATTTGTCTGAACACACAGAATGCTTCGATTGGTAGGAGCCAACAAAGTAAGAGGAGGTAATGTGACTCTGTGTCGCACCCAACCTGCCTCATATTTAGAAACCAATAATCCACAAAAATATGCCTTGTAACATCTACGATCCCCACACACCGAAATAGTTACAATCTAATATTGACTTTTGTTGTTGTTCAACGATGCATTCCAGGTTTAATAATATTCCAGCAATATGAAGGCGTAAATAATTGAGACGATCCAGTGATTGGCATTAGGAAGATCTGTCTAAACGATGACATGCATCATTCAAACCAGTGCCTGACCATCCGATCCTGTTAGCACGCCTCGTACGACAAGCATGGATTGCTGAAGACCAATTCTAACTCTGATCTTCATTGGACTAATCCTGGCGTGAACCAAAGTGAATGGTAAAAGTAATAAGGAGAAACTGCATGTAGCTGAATGTTGCGAGAAGTTTGGTTTGTCTCTCAAATCTGAAGACATTTCCGTTACACTTTTGTATTGGATTCAAGAGCTATATGCAAATCCATTCATAGAGATGTTTATTCTGAGAGTGAATGTGGGCATGTATAAACAGGACATTTGTGGTTGTTGTTTACATACACAAAGATACAGTTGGCTAGTAAATGTTCATGCATGGGGGCTTATCTCAGTGTAATCCTTCTTTCATACCTACCGACACAGCTAGCTAGCATCCTACCACCAGGCCTGAGAGTGGTCTTTCCTCCCGAACAAGGCTTGCAAGACGTCTGTGAAGATGCGTCAGAGTAGGTGCCTACTGGACACAGTTCACACTGGCCCAGTGTTGAGTTGAAGGACCCAGGGCCACAAGCAACTGAGAGATACAACAGGTACTCAGTTCATTCCCTACTAACTGAATTTGCCACCTTAACACAGGTGTGTGTGTGTGTGTGTGTGTGTGTGTGTGCGTGCGTGCGTAAGTGTATGTGTGTCTGTCTGTGTCTGTGTGTTTTATGCATTCATGATTCATGTCGGTGTTCGTTCTCCTTTACTTCTCGATATGCAATACAGCTACTCACCACAGCTGCTGGTTCCGACTGCTTCATCACAGGACGCCTTAAGGACAACCTCCACCAGGTCCTTCTGTAGCATACTCTGGCCGATGTCCTGAAAAACACCACACACATGTAGCCAACGGTGTTTTGACCATAGCTTCGAATAACACTGCGTCAATGAAGGAAGTCTGTAGGTAACACTACAGTAATGCAGCCGGTGGTGGATGATTGACCAGAGCCTTGAATAAAACAAAGTTAATGTAAAAAGGGTGAAGACCTTGATTAACACCACAGTGATGTAGCCGGTGGTGGATGATTGACCAGAGCCTTGAATAACACAACGTTAATGTAAGAAGGGTGAAGACCTTGAGTAGCACCACAGTGATGTAGCCGGTGGTGGATGATTGAGCAGAGCCTTGAATAACACAACGTTAATGTAAGAAGGGTGAAGACCTTGAGTAGCACCACAGTGATGTAGCCGGTGGTGGATGATTGAGCAGAGCCTTGAATAACACAACGTTAATGTAAGAAGGGTGAAGACCTTGAGTAACAAAACAGTGATGTAGTCGGAGATGGGTGATTGACCAGAGACTTGAATAACACAACGTTAATGTAAGAAGGATGAAGACCTTGAGTAACACCACAGTGATGCAGCCGGTGAGGTGTTGATTAATGCGTTGTATGGAAAAAGCAGTGTCATGTATAGTTCCACGGTGATGAAGACACTAATGGTTTCAATAATTCTTTGATTTACAGAACAGTCAACATAACAGCTATTACACAAGAAAAAAAATGGTGATTTCCAAAAATTTCCAATTTGGAAATATCATATTTCCAAAAAATTCCCAAATTGGAAAGATGATATTTCCAAGGCTTGGAAATTTTTGGAAATTTAGGAAGGATTTTACCACTACTTCTTTCAGTTTCTCCTTTTCCCAAGGATCCCCGTGAGTGTACAGACTGTCTATTCGTCCTCCTAGGAGTGTATTCGTCCTCCTATGCCAGCAACTATAACCAGGGAGACTATAAGACGTTGTAGATTATTCCTGGTATAACTTCCCTCGTCTGCATCCTTGTTGTTCTAGGTGTCAAAAATTGACATTAACTGTCATATTTGCCCTGATATGGCTAGCATTTTCCAAAATACAGTTTTAAGTGTATGGTTTACTTATTATCCACAAAAGCGCAAATAGTTTTTGACCTGTCAAGGTTTGCATAAACACAAATTACATAGACCTACGTTACATCATTGATTAAATAAAAGTTTACCGGACCCACTGACTGACTGGCCAGGTTTTATTACATGTCATAAAAGTGAACCCTTGCCAGGGAATAATAGGCTTATTGTAGTAGAATACATTCTTAATGGTACCCTCTAATTAACACCTGACACAAGGGATGGACCGTTTGGGTGGTTTATCATTGCGAAATCAACAGTCAACAGACCATGAAATGTTGTTTTAAGACTGTAGGCGAATAGAGAGCAACCCGTTTGGGTTTGTGGTCAGAGACGGTGTTATGCAGTTAGTGTATTCACGAAATATCATGAACTTAATAATAGATAATTGGTTATATTGTCCACACACAGGCGGACTGGGGCAAAAAGAACCCTAATGAATTCCTTCTTAAAAACTTCATAGTGTTACTAATTAATTTGGTCATAGACAATAAAAGGTGACTAAATGTTTAATTTTAGATAACGTTAAATAATTTCTAGAGAAATCACTACACAAGTTCATATCACAGGTGATTCCAGAGACAAATAGTTTATCAGATTCTAGTTTATGAAAAGCATTAAATTCCAAACAAACCAATCTGTTCTCTAATGCTCAGGAATTATTACCACTTACATACCATAGTTTGAGATGTCGACTCAGGAAGCCGACCTTTCGATTCTTATAAGGCTCAGGACATTGACAAGGGGTACGCTTTAAAGTTTGGGTGTTATTTTAGCACATGGCTAATCTCATGTGACGTGTTATTACAAGCTGGTGGTTGATGGAAGTGAACACATCGCACACTGAAGCCGACCGTGTAAAAACATGATCAAAACAATCATATGGTAAACACATTTAAAAGGGCACTGATCCAAAGCAATTTCCGCTCACTGGTTGTTATTGCTTTTCTCCCCTGAGTACCCGGATGATATCCCAGTATTTTCGATTGGTTCGTGACCTTTGCTGCGCAACCCGCATGCGCAATTGATCATATAGGTGTAGATTGATCAACAAAAATAAAATCTTTTTTTACTCGATAATACTTCTATCATTTTTATTCTAACAAATGAAAACAGTTTGAAGTTTGATCATCTGCCAGTGGTAAAAAATGTCAGGACTGAAAAATAACGAAGTCAATGTATGTGTCAGGGTAGAGACTGCGATCTGGTAGAATCGGAAATTCTACCAGTAGAGATTGCGATCGGAGTCTCTACCAGTAGAGACTGCGATCGGAGTCTCTACTGGTAGAATCTCCGATCCTACTAGTAGAGATTGCAATCGTAGTCTCTACTGGTTGAATCGGAGATTCTACCAGTACATTTTCCAATTCAACTGGTAGAAACTCCGATCCTACTAGTAGAGGCTGCAATCGTCTTCAACTGGTAGAAACTCCGAGTGATCTGTGGGTAAACAACAAAGACACTTTTTCTGAACAGTACTATGCATTTTATTCAGATATAACACTAGACTGTTTCCGCTTCTACAGATATATTAAGGACTAAAAATACAAATGTGACTTGAGAGATCATATTACAATATACATATATTACAAAACTGATTACAAGCAAGATCAATTGCATAATCAGTGTTTTCCTAGGCATAAAAATTTAGAAGTCATCATGAGAGGGAGTCATGGACATGTTTTTGGGAGTCAACTTCTTTCATCAAGAGATCAACTGTTATCAGGGTTCGAAATACCCCATATATTAGTGTGCCATGGCACGGTCATTATTGAAATGGCACGGCTAAAAAATGTCCTCGGTGCCCTTTTGACACGCCCGATTTAACTGACATAACTCACATTTAGTCATACACATATACACTGACAATTTTTATAGCCCTCAGAAGAAAACCAATCAAGATTAGCAAATGTGGTGAGGAAAATAGAATATTATTTGTCCCTCCGTTGTCTTTGAAGCTATGTTGCTGCAACTGGTACAAACAACTTGGTCGAAATCGGACGGTTGGTTTCAGAGTTAGGGGTGTTTGAAACGTATTTGAGGGCTTTAAATCGTCGGAGATTCTACCAGTAGAGACTCCGATCGCATAGGTTATTCCATATAATCGTAGTCTCTACCAGTAGAGACTACGATTGCAATCTCTACTAGTAGGATCGAAGATTCTACCAGTAGAGACTACGATCGCAGTCTCTACTGGTAGACTCCGATCGCAATCTCTACTGGTAGAATCTCCGATTCTACCAGATCGCAGTCTCTACCCTGACATATGTCTATATATTTTGTCTTATAATCCTAATTATTATATTGTCATATATGCATGCATTTTGAAACTTAATAAAAAGCATACGATTATACTTATAGCGTATTTATAACATGACTGTAATATCTAGACATTTTATAGAATGCCAACATGAATCATATTTCACACACACCTTAGGTATGACCTAGTGTATGTTGTCTGTCTCATTACGGCGAAAACAAATGATTCTGTTGAATGCTACCGCAAATGAATAAAAACAAAATACAAATATTAGAAATAAAACCGACTAAAGTCTGCAACAATGTCAGGTTATTACCTTGTTCGAGGAATGTATCCATCAATATCCACATAGGTTTATTCCCGATTTTGACAGCCTCAAATTTGATCTAGCCAGTTATCCCAATTTTGACAATGAACTTTGGTACACTTGTCAGCTCTTCTTGTGTCCGTTTTTTTTACATTACTGGTAAGGATATAGGAACCAATAGAGCTTTGGTCTGGATGTGTATGCTGTTTGTCCTCTCTTCTGACAACAGTCCCATCTGCTGTTGTAGTGACTGAGGCTGTTGTCAGGCACTGATATCTCCATATAATGGTACCATTCTTGTTGGCAGTTCGTCTCGTATTAGTTCGTATTAGTGTTGAAGAATTTTACTTGTTCTGTACTTCTCTCAGGTGATTGCATTTACATAACTACCCTTAATTGGTGCAGCTAGTTATCCCAGGTTTGAGAGCGAAACTTCGCGAATCATTGACCAAGACGCTGTCAAAAATGTAGGGGTGTCGCGATAGGGGTTTACTGACGATACGATACGCGATACATGCTTGCGTGTATCGATTCCTATTTTGAAACTTTATCGATTCAATTTTTATGCTATATCCATCTCCTTCAAAGTCTTTATAGTAAAATTATACGAGACAGCTCCGATAAATAGATGTAGCTAGCTTTACTTAAAAAAATAGGTTGGAAACTAACAGCTTTTGTGATTGGCTAGACTATTTTGATGGACCAATCAGCGGGCGCGTACGTTGCCGGTAAGGTAATGCTATGAAAAGGTGCGAAAATTATGTATTACACCTTAAAATCGTGATACGTATCGTATCGTGAGATTGATGTATCGTGACACCCCTACAAAAAATGGGACACTACCTCCACATAAAGGAACAATATGCCATTGATCTGCAGCTGACAAAGAATCCTGTTTCATGTCAAGTGTCTTTTAACAGTCTAATACCTGAAAAAGGGATACATCGATTCAGTTTTCACATTGGTGTATAATCTCATTGGTCAACTAATTGCATGATGTCCGCCATTCTTTAAAAAGGTAATTTAATTAGCCAATAATGAGCATTTAATCCACTTGTGTTTTTCTTGGCTTGGTCATCTCCTCCCCCACCCACCCGTACCATTGTCTTGCTAATTAACATGGTCTGGTGATCCTGTTACGCCTTAAATAAACAACTTGCCCGACTGGGAAAAGAGGAACACCCCCATGAACTTACTGGCGGTTAATACATTGAAGGAAAGATATTGTTTTTACACAGGTACAGGGTACAGGACAGGGTGTAATCAGTATAGATTAGTAAATCTACATACATAAACACTACCTTTTGACAAATCCGCTGTGCAAGAAAAAAGTAATTAATCAATCAGCGTGTTATCGGTTAATCCTTT